ATTCCCCGTCACCCGTTATTACCATGGTAGGCGCGTAACCTACCATCGAAAGTTGATAAGTCAGACATTTGAAAGATGCGTCGCCGGTTCTGTGGACCGTGCGATCAGCTCAAAGTTATTCAGATTCGTCATAGATTTGCGGATCTCGTTCTTCGAACGAGATCCGATTGGTTTTGTTCTAATAAAAGCATTCGTTCCGCGAGATCGTTCGAACCCGCGGTCGGAACTCGTTTGGCATGTATTAGCTCTAGAATTGCCACAGTTATCCAAGTAACCGTGATCGTACCATCAATTGAATCATAGCTGATTTAATGAGCCTTTCGCGGTTTCACCTTAATTCGGCTTGCACTGAGACATGCATGGCTTAATCTTTGAAACAAGCATATGACTACTGGCAGGATCAACCAGGGATGTGCGCATCGATTCGTCGTCCGATCATCTTTTTCTTGCGTCGTCGTCGCCCCCGCGTGTTTTTCAATTTTTATTTTAGTAAAAATAAAAAAAGAAATTCACGCCCGACGCGACGCAGAAAGCGAATCGCGAACGACGCACGTCGTGCATTTTTATACGAAGATTTTTTCTTCCGCGAGAAGCGCTCTCCGCGAGCGAAGAGCGCTCCCTCGTCGTCTTATCGCGTTACGATCGCACGCTCGAATCCGTCGCCTTTCGGCCGCTCTCCGATCCCGTCTCCGAGATCGGAGGAAACGACGAGAAAACGATTTCATCGAAGCGCGCGCAAGAGAGAATGAAAAAATCATTCGTGCGATCGTCGAATCTTTTGCGAGCAAGTCGCTTTGACGGCTCGGAATTCTATCGAGACTTCCTCGCCGGATTCTCAAGTTCTCGAAGCTGCGATCGAAAACGTTTTTTCCGCTCGCGCTCGTTTGAGCGAGCGGTCGGAAAAATTGATTCGTCCGCTTCGAATAAAAATTGTGAAACTTTCGCGCGGCTTGAAATTTGATGCGCGCCGCGTATTGTTGTCGGAAAAAAATTTAATCCGATTCCGATACATGTAGTACGTATATATAACGAATCAACGTTACGTACATTTTTGTCCGGCCGAACAACGATCGGTCTCGCCCGAAACGATCGAGTCGGTTTCACGCGACTCGACCGCCGGACGACCGATCTCGGCCATCGCTCAGTCGACTACCAGGTAAGAACTGAGCAGTGGAAAACTGGAATTGAAATCCCATAAGAGTGCATTTGATTAACATTGGACGTTTTCATCAGAGCCGAATCCGAGCCCCCTTGTCTCAAAAAACTTAGAAAAATTTTCAAGTGAAAAAAATTTTTACTTTTTTTTTTTTGAATTTTGACCGCGGTCCCGGACTCTCCGACGTCGGAACCCCGCGACTCGATGGGAGCCGCGATCTCGCGGTTTCGGGTGGAGGTGGGGGAGGGCGCGAAAAATTTTTACTTTTTTTTTTCGGAATTTTGACCGCGGTCGGAGACTCTCCGACGTCGGAACCCCGCGACTCGATGGGAGCCGCGATCTCGCGGTTTCGGATGGAGGTGGGGGAGGGCGCGAAAAATTTTTACTTTTTTTTTTTTGAATTTTGACCGCGGTCCCGGACTCTCCGACGTCGGAACCCCGCGACTCGATGGGAGCCGCGATCTCGCGGTTTCGGGTGGAGGTGGGGGAGGGCGCGAAAAAATTTTTTTTTTTTTCGGAATATTGACCGCGGTCGGAGACTCTCCGACGTCGGAACCCCGCGACTCGATGGGAGCCGCGATCTCGCGGTTTCGGGTGGAGGTGGGGGAGGGCGCGAAAAATTTTTACTTTTTTTTTTCGGAATTTTGACCGCGGTCGGAGACTCTCCGACGTCGGAACCCCGCGACTCGATGGGAGCCGCGATCTCGCGGTTTCGGATGGAGGTGGGGGAGGGCGCGAAAAATTTTTACTTTTTTTTTTTTGAATTTTGACCGCGGTCGGAGACTCTCCGACGTCGGAACCCCGCGACTCGATGGGAGCCGCGATCTCGCGGTTTCGGGTGGAGGTGGGGGAGGGCGCGAAAAAATTTTTTTTTTTTTCGGAATATTGACCGCGGTCGGAGACTCTCCGACGTCGGAACCCCGCGACTCGATGGGAGCCGCGATCTCGCGGTTTCGGGTGGAGGTGGGGGAGGGCGCGAAAAATTTTTACTTTTTTTTTTCGGAATTTTGACCGCGGTCGGAGACTCTCCGACGTCGGAACCCCGCGACTCGATGGGAGCCGCGATCTCGCGGTTTCGGATGGAGGTGGGGGAGGGCGCGAAAAATTTTTACTTTTTTTTTTCGGAATTTTGACCGCGGTCGGAGACTCTCCGACGTCGGAACCCCGCGACTCGATGGGAGCCGCGATCTCGCGGTTTCGGGTGGAGGTGGGGGAGGGCGCGAAAAATTTTTACTTTTTTTTTTTTGAATTTTGACCGCGGTCCCGGACTCTCCGACGTCGGAACC